GTTTATATTTTATACTTAAGTCTATCTGAACACAAAGTCCTGCTTTTTAATAATGCTATCTTGAGAAAAAGTATTTAAGCTTTGAAAATGTTGTGGTCCTTTGAACTGGTAATTTTGTTTAGAACTGTATTCTAAAAATAGAATAAAGAACATGTACTAGGATTTAGCTTTAAGAATCTTTATATTAATATTGGCTATAGTGCCAAAAATTGGAATCAACTAGTGATGAAAAGGACTTGATTAAATTAATTGTGTTGGGAGATGGTGGGAGTGGATGATGGGAGGTTGCTTGTTGGCTGCAATGTGCATTGCTCCAGTGATGAATACGTTAAAGACCCTGACTTCACTAAAATGCAATAAATCAATGTAGCATTGTTGTAATTCTACTCTGCATAAAAAAAAGTAAAAACTAAATTGCATTATGTTCAAATAGTGGAATAGTATGCAACCATTACAAATGTTGTAGAAAAATATCTATTGGAAAAATAATGGTAGCACACATAATCTTCTTAGTGAATTCCATTTAGCCTGCAAAGTTTCATTAAATGTCCTTTTGGTGATGTGTGTTCTTATCCAAATAAAATGAGGCCTACTCTCCTCTTTGCTCCCATAGGTCTACACATATGGCATACGGTATTATACTTAATTATTTGGGTATGTGTTTTCCCTTACAGACTATGACTTCCTTAAGGTCAAAAAAAAAAAAAAAAAAAAAAAAAAAAAACCAAAAAAACTTTAGTCACCTTTGTTACCTCACCCAAATCTAACATAGTGTATAGTGCATAGTTAATAGGAGACAGTCAACAAACATCCACTGCAAAAATAAGTGAACAATCCTTGTCAGAATGTTCAAGTTATTTTACTTAAGAATCAATTAGAAGGTGATCAGATATCTATAGTTTACTGGGGAAAACTTTCCTGCTTTTTTTACAATGAGAAGAAACAAACCCCTTCATTCTAGTTACCTTTGATTCTGCCTTGCTGCCTTAAAGACAGAAACAGGTAATAATCTCAGCACACCTATGATGCACTCACTACACATGACCCTGGGATACAACAGTCCGGCAATGGCCTGAGCTAAGGCAGGGATTTTAATGTGAATTTTATATATTTCTATAGAATATCGCAATAGGCTTCATACAATATATCTCTGAAAATTATCTTCAAAAAATGTTGTAGATGTCTACTTTATGTGTATTTTCTAAGGATAGCGTTCTTTAGCTATATGCTCAGAAAGCCATTGATCAAAAAAGTTTAAAGAATAATAATAGATTCTATGTTGTTTTCAACATATTACTATGACCCAAAATATCTTAACTTTCATATGCATATGTCACTTAATAAGTCAAAATTTTTTTGTTTTCATTTTTGAGGCCGGGGTGAGCTTATTTTTTATCAAAGCCCATTAAAATGTAGTTAATGGGCAGATTCATTCATTATTCTTTTCTGTAGACACTATATTACAGACACAAGTACTCCCTATAAAATTACAAAAATTCCTCTGGGAATGAGAAAAGAGAGTTGCTATGTGCAGTTCAGTGAGGATGAAGATACTTTGCACCCTTGGCATCTGCAGAGTCAGTATTTTCAAATTATCTAAGGAAAGTCAGGGAGTGGGTCATTGGGAAGAAAGTCAAATGGATAAGGGCCAGGAAAACAAAAAGAGCGAGAGAGGAAGTTTACAGAAGCCAAAATCAGAAGACTGCCTTCAACTAATACTGAAGAAATCTTCATACATTCTTGAAGTCCAGTCAAGTGTTTCTATGTGTTTCTATATAAAGGTGTAGCTGTATTTAGAGCTGTTACATTTTCCACGGCCTGAAGGAATTTCCATTTATTTGCTGTGGTACTTTTTTTCTCTAGCAGGACCATCACACATTGTGATTTAGCCCTGTGCCTACAACAGATTAGAAATTTTAGTAGGGAAAAATCACCTGATGTTGACCTTATTCAGCTCCCTCTGCTCAATCAGGTTTGTGTGCGGGGGCTGAACCAGATGAAGTTTCAGAGGTGCAATTGGAGAATATTCCCTCATCTATTGCACATGCCAGATGGGTTAGTACCAGTTTAAAAAATACTACAAAGGAAGCCTGAGCATTCTCAGAATTTGAAGACATCAAGGATAATTGAAGGGATTCCAGAAAACCCAGTTTCATTAAGACAGAGCAGGCATCATAGGGACTTATATGTGTTTTTGTTTTATTTGACCTGGAATTTTTTGTTTTTTAATTAAACGGCTAGTAGGGAGCCCTTGAAGACTCTCTCTAAGATCACTGAATATGAAAGTTAAAATCAGAGTTTATACTATTCCTGACTTGTATAAATTGCCTGAGGAAGGTGAGGTTTTTTATGCATTAGGAGACAGGAATAATGGTAATAATAATGTTTCTTGAGAGTTTACTCTGTACCAGGCATGCTTTACATGTTTTACATGTACTAACTCACTGATTCTTATATCAAACTTACGAAGTCAAAATATTATTATTCGGTTTCTGTCAATGAGAGAACAAGACATAAGAATAAGAAGTAAGTTTTTCAAGGACACACAACTAGTAAGGAAGGACTCGTGCTCTTAAACACTAAGAAATACCCCTCTACAAGGAAGAGTTATGAAAACAGGAATCTCTCCGGTTGTCTGCTGTGCAACATTCAACTTTTTTTTGAGGGGGTGTTATCCAAAATAGTGGATAATCTGTAGAAAACAGCTTTTTTTCCCAAATAATTATCCTCCAATATTAAACACACAGACACACACACACACACACACACACACACAATTCTACACATCTGAAAGTACTTCTAATCACAAGATTTTAAAGAATTTTACTTTGAATATATTGTCATTTCCACTGAGAAACAAATGATTTGGATGTGGAAACACAAGAAAAGATCACTTTTCCCATCTCATATTTATCTAATTTAATAAATAAAACTAAAAGCAGGTATGTTGATATCCCAGGAAAACTGAGATGATTTAATAGGTAATTTTTCATCAAAAGTCATATATTGGTTTATTTATTCAAATAACAAGTATTCATTTAACAACTACTTTGTTCTAGGCCAGTGTCTATGCACTGGGGATATATAGAAATGAACAAAACAGATTATGTCTCTGACTTTGTGAACTTGAGTTAAAGATGTTACTACTGTTAAATTACTGATGATTTCTCTTGGTTCAAGATATTCTGTATTTATTTATTTACTGTCACTTTTAAGTTCAAGGGTACAAGTGTTAAGTTTGTTACATAGGTAAACTTGTGTCATGGAGGTTTGTTGTACAAATATTTCATTACCCAGGAATTAAGCCTAGTACCCATTAGTTATTTTTTTCTGATCTGCTTCCTCCTCACACCCTCCACCTTCTTAAAGGACCCAGTGTGTGTTGTTCCCCCGTGTCCAAACAAATTTACAAAAACAACCTCATAAAAAAGTGGGCAAAGGACATGAACAGACACTTCTCAAAAGAAGACATACGTGCAGCCAACAATCATGTGAAAAAAAAACTCAGTATCACTGATTATTAGAGCAATGAAGATCAAAACACAATGAGATACCATTTAACACCAGTCAGAATGACTATTATTACAAAGTCAAAAAATAACAGATGCTGACGAGGTTATAAAGAAAAAGGAGCTCTTATAAACAGTTCATGGGAGTGTAAATTAGTTTAGCCATTGTGGAAGATAGTGTAGCGATTCCTCGAAGACATAAAGACAGAAATACCATTTGACCCAGCAATCCCATTACTTGGTATATACCCAAAGGAGTATAAATCATCCTATTATAAAGACATATGCAGGAATAAGTTCATTGTATCACTATGCACAATAGCAAAAATATGGAATCAACCTAAATGGCCATCAATGATTGACTGGATAAAGACATTCTATATTGTTAAAGTTTATAAATCTATACATTTCACATGGGAAGTATTGGAAAGAATAAAATTATACTTGCAAGATATGCAAATAGAATTCAAAACAGCAAACCATATAGCTCAACTGGCATAGAGACAAGTTCTTAGCATCATTCGTTCTAGTTTTAGAATCTTCTATAAATACCCACACAGAGGTCAGAATGCAAAGGCTGAATTGGTACTTTTTATTTCTTCTTCCAGGGCATGCTACATCTTAAGAACTGTCCACTCCAACACACATCCCAGTGAATAAGCATATCAATCTCATGGCTAACAACATACCTTTGAACGTTTCACAACCAAATTAAATCTCACCTTCCAATGGAACAGAAAGTAGAAAAATGGTGAATTACATGGGCTAGAAATAGGAGTTTGATACATAAGTATTTCAAATAATCAACTAGCAACATAAGACAAAAACACACAACAGCAAAAGTAGGTACTGTAGATTACGATTCTATCTGAAATGTACATATGGTTGGTTAAATCCTCTTCTTATTGAAAATCACTTAAGACTGGGCACTCTGGTGTCACACTGTGGCACTTGACTAAAGGTTCTACCACTTAACAGCTGGTGATAGGCAAGGGCTACTCTGCCTGGGCTAGAGACCCAGCAGGCTGATTTTCCATACAGACAGCTGACACTTTCTCTCCCCCAAAGAGCAGGCTCATTTGAAAACTAAAATGCAGAAGATATAAAAACTGGCAACAACTGAGTACTCAAGTCAGACATCTGATAAGATGCCAATGAAATGGACAGGGCTGAGGGCCAAGAATCCCCAACACCATATGACAACAAACATGAGACTTGGGCCCTGGACTCCAGTCACACCAAGGGATGTGTTACTGAGCTCTCTGTCATAATTGCTGCAGTGGAAGATCAGGGATAGAAGCAACAATTCTTGTACATCACAGAACTGTAACAGCAACATTTTGACCTTGGCCCCAATCTATCCCAGGGGAAGGTCTGGTGCTTCCCTAACCAGGCAGTTTATAAGCCCCACATCTCAAGACTGGAGCCTCTCCCATGATGGACATTTGCCAGCAGGGTTCTTGTACAATTGGTATGGAGAAAATGGCTTACCTGCTGCTACTCTGTCTCTGTAGTTTTTCCTCTCAAAAAAAAAAAAAAAAAAAAAAGAATGCTGGTCCAAGCTGGTATGTGTGCTTTCAGGGCATTCACTCTTGATTACTCCACATTAGACTGTCTTGAACAAATTAGTAATTCTCTGTGAGCCTCAGTATCCTCTTCATCAAATATGTGTAATGACAGCAAACACTTCATTTGGTTTCTGTGAGGATTAAATGAGATAATCTATGTCAAGTATTTATCAGAGCATAGGCACATAGTGAACATTAAAAAATGCTAGCTATGATTATAATTTATTATTTAATTCAATGGGATTTTTCAGTACATATAGGGGATTTTATCATATTTCAAAAAGAAATAAAAAATAAACTTGAGGTATTTCATTAAGAGACATAGAGAGTCATTGTTCTATAGGCTATGACTCCATCGTTGATGTGGTGAGGTTTATTTGATGACTGAAAGAGTCTGAGTTTCAGATCAGAGAAGAGAAATTCATCAAATAAAAGAAACATAGTCTTATACTGAGAAACAGATTTCTAATTGGTGCCTAGGTATCTGTTTGCACCTTCTTGAAAATGAGCACTCTGGAGGAATGGCATAAAGAAAAAGACAGCTTTAGTGGCTATACTTTTATCTACATAATTATTCATTCATTCATCCATCAGTACATTATCTTCTTTATTCAACAGCTACATTTTGCAAGACACTATGCTAAGACAAGACATAATCAGGTCAATATGGAGAAGTACAAATTGACTTGTCCAAAACTTACTCCCTACATGCTAGTCTCCCAAAGAAGGAGCTTGCTGCCTGCGGATTGCCTGGAAAAAATAGCTACAAAAAAAATGCCTTAAGGCAACCAATTCTAGTAAAGACTGAGATGGCAGATTAAGCCATTTTCAAGCATGTCAAAGAGCTGGAACTCTGAGGCTTAGACATGAACCCACTGATTCTGCCAGAGAATGGGCTTGTGTTCCCTGAACTATTGGAGGTCCAGTTGGCAGAATAGGACTTAGAGACAAAACTATGCCATGCACTTAGTTGATGGATCCCAGCTCTCAGTCATGCCAGGGGAAGAGCTGTTGCTTTCCTAATTAGTTTCTTAAAGCCTTCTGGAGGCCAGTACTTGATTTACTCTATCTCTGTGTGCTATCCCAAAGTACAATGGAAAATTATACTCTGTTTCTTATCACAGTGAAATCCATCAATATAATCCTTTTTCATCATTCCTAGTGTGTTACCTGCCTGATGTTTTGTCCTGGTTTAATCACCACATCTGTGACTTAAGAAGCTCATAATGTAAAAGAGAAGATAAAACACTTATATGGATTAAATTAATAAAAGAGAATTACCTGCCGTGGAAAAAGTATGTGCCATGTTTGGAGGGAATCATCTCTGTTCTGTTTAATGACTGACCTCTACCTTCCTTGAGGGTATTTGATAGAAACCAATCCCTGCACCCTCACTATTTCATTGCCAATAACAAGAGGAATGACTTATTTTACAGGACTAATGTATCTACACCATTCACTCATAAAAGGTGAGAGATAGGTTTCACTTCTTAATGCAATTTATTAGCTCTGTAATTACGATTCTCATTCCAGGGGCCACTTTTAGGGTGATAATATTGGCCTAATGTACAGTGCATTTTGGCCTCATGTAGAGAGTATATTTATCAATACAGTCTTACTGATAATAAAAGTGATATTTGAATGCCTAAGGAAGTCAAAACTTCCTTGTCCCCTTCTTAATAGGTTTAGAACTTAGAACATAAGACATTTGATCCAATGACTCCTTTAATCACATTTATTTAATTCAGACATGAATTTGAATCCCAGTTGGTTTTGGAAATATTGTGTTCAATCTTGAAATGTCAATGCACTCATTAGCCTATGGCTATAATTCTCTCATTGGATTCTTTGAGGGATTAACTGAGATAATGTGCCTGAATCATATAAGGCATTCAAAAATTCTGCTTGTATGGTGTACATGATGTAAAAAGCAGTCTAGAAAAAGAAACTTGATACAGCTTTGTTTACAATAGCCAAGATTAGGAAGCACCCTAAATGCCCATCAATAGATGAATAGATAAAGAAAGAGTACTTATACGCAATGGAGTACTATTCAGCCATAAAAAGAATGAGATTCAGTAATTTGCGACAACATGGATGGAACTGGAGGATATTATGTTAACTGAAATCAGCCAGACACAGAAAGACAAACATCACACGTTCTCATTTATCTATGGGATCTACAAATCAAAGCAATTGAACCCATGAAGACAGAGAGTAGAAGGATGGTTACTAGAGGTTGGGAAAGCGGGGTAGGAGGAAGATGTAGGGGGATAGGAGGAAGATGGGGATGGTTAATGGGTACAAAAAATTAGAATGAATATGGCCTAGTATTTGATAGCACAACAGGGTGACTATAGTCCATAGTAATTTAACTGTGTATTTTAAAATAACTAAGAGTATAACTGGATTGTTTGTAACACAAAGGATAAACCCTTGAGAAGGTGGAGACCCCATTTTCCATGATGTGATTGTTACACATTTCATGCCTGTATCAAAACATCTCATATGACCAGTAAAAATACATACCTCCTATATGCCCACAAAAATTAAAAAAAAAAAAATGCCCAGGCACGGTGGCTCACGCTTGTAATCCCAGCACTTTGGGAGGCCAAGGCAGGCGGATCACGAGGTCAGAAGATGGAGACCATCCTGGCTAACACCGTGAAACCCCATCTCTACTAAAAATACAAAAAATTAGCCGGGCTTTGTGCAGGTGCCTGTAGTCCCAGCTACTCCGGAGGTTGAGGCAGGAGAACAGTGTGAACCCGGGAGGCAGAGCTTGCAGTGAGCCGAGATTGTGCCACTGCACTACAGCCTGGGCGACAGAGCGAGACTCTATCTCCAAAAGAAAAAAAAAATTAAAAAAAAATTTTTAAAAATCTTGAGAGACTAAGGGAGGATTATTGAGTCTCTGTATTAAGAACATTTGGGCCAGGCCTGATGACTCACACCTGTAATCCCAGCACTTTGGGAGGCCAAGGTGAGAGGATTGGTTGAGCCCAGGGGTTCGACACCAGCCTGGGCAATATAGTGAGATCCTGTCTTTATTTTATTTGTATATATATTTTTGTTTCTATCATATATAAAAATTTTTAAAGTAAGATAAAAAAGAATATTTGATCTTTTTTTCAGTTAGCTTAAATATAGGAAACACAAAAAATTTAACAGATGGTCCGCAACAAATTGGAAACTTTTCTGTGTCCTAAGCCCATGACATGCCAGCCAGTTTGACACCACTATTCAGAACTGAGCGCTTGGGTACTGCAGAGAACTATCACAGGAGGACATTTAATAAATTGTGGTGGAAGTCAAACCTCAGTCCATGTCACTCACCTCAACAGGACGTTGCTTACCATGTGTCATTTAAAATGCAATTCCCTTTGAATGGACACAGAGCAGTTCTATTACTAGACATGACTGCTTTTACTACTAGCAGTGGTTTAATGATTTTATGTCATTGCAATAATAGAAACATGACATTCAACTGTGACTACAGCTTGTATGAGTCTATTTTTGGAAAGCTGATTTTGCAGAGAACATGGAAATGTGGAGTCTTGGTTCCTGCTTATTTCCCAAAAGCCTTGGCTAGTAACTCTTATACGTCACTCCCCTCTATGGACCTTTCATGACTTTCTGAAATGAGTGTAGTGATTTGAAGTACCAAACAATGATTGTTCACAGAAAAAAAGTCTCTTCTTTAGAAAAGGAGAATTGGGACTGAATTCAATTTTTCCATCAAAAGAAACATCCCTCATGGAGTATTTCAATACCTGAGTCCTCACTCTCGACAGGGAAGAAGCAAGCAAACAGCAACAACAAAGATAACCGAAATAAGACATTCTTTCTCAGTAGAGGACACTGCCATCTACCTTTTACAGACAAATCTGAAGCTAAGAGACATAAACTCCCCCAATGTCCTCTCTTCACACGTAGACACTTATCACTGTCAGTACTCAGAGTTCAACTTCTTTCTAATCTCAGAACAAGTGCTTTTTCTTTTGCTTACAGCCAACCCTTTCATCTGTGTTCTTGATTCCAACCCCACCTGTCTTTTCTAAGACCTCGATCCATCAGTACTCTACCTTTGTTCCTGTATTTTCACCTCTCCCCTTGCTACTGGCTACGGGTCCTTTCAGGCTGTTCACATACTAAAATCCTTACCATTACATACACACACACACCCTTCTGTCTACATCTAGTCACTGACCTATTTCCCTCCACAATCAAACTACTTAAAATAGTCCACATTTGCAGTCTCCCATTTTAAAATTGCCTGTTTTCTCTTGTCCATCTATAAATACGTACATGATTTTTCCTTGTATCCTTATTTCAAACAGTGCACTACAAGCATTTGTTATTTGTCCTTCCTTCCTTTCAACCCATACTCACAGTCCTCTGCTTGCATCTTTCTGGCCAGACTGCTCAAGTAAAATTCATCAATAACCTCCTAACAGTTAAAGACGATGGCCAGGACCAGTAATTTAACCGTTACCAGCATGTGAAACAAAAGACACATCCTTCCCCTTTTGAAAAATGTTGCTCTCTTTTGGTTTCATATTGCTGCTTCTTTATTCCTCCCACTTACCATATATTGGACACATATTTTCCCCAAGTTCTATGTCATCAATACAGTTAAAATAGTTACAATAACCCTAAAAAGGTAGGGAATATTGCAATATTGTATACATTTAAGATCAAGCAGGTAGAACCTAAAGAAATTGAATCTTTACCTAAGTTACATAGTAAGTACAATATATGAGGTAAGAACCCAGTTTTGTCTGATACCAATGTACATTTTTTAACATATTATGATAATTACATATTCCAAAAGTACAGAAATATACCAAACAGTTGCAACTAACAAAACCCACCTACTCGAAGATTTAACAAATACTTACATTTTGCCTTTATTTTTAGTTTTCAGAGACAGGGTCTTGCTCTGCGAGCCAGGATGTAGTGGTACAATCATGGCTCACTGCAGCCTCAAACTCCTGTACTCAAGGGATCCTCCCACCTCGGCTTCCCAAGTAGCTGAGACTATAGCCACGTGTCTCTACCCTGGTCTTTGCTTTATTAGCCTCAGAATTTTTTTTCTTTCCAGAATTGATATGGTTTAAATAATTGAAGC